CACAGAGTGTAAGTGAAGGTCAGAAGACAACAAGCAGAAGTCTAGTCTCTCTTTCTACCATGTGGAGTCCAGGGATCAAACTCTGGCACCAGACTTAGAAGCATGTACCTTTACCCACTGAGCCATCAACTGGCCTACAAGGATTTGTTTTGTTTTAAATGTGTATTGGTGTTTCACCTGCATGTATCTCCATTCATCCCAACAGAGGCCTCATCCCCAAGGTCGAAAGAGGTCATCAGATCTAGAATTGGAGTGTTACAGACAGCTGTGAGCCACCATGTGAGTCCTGGGACTTTAGTTGGGTCCTCCTGAAAAGCAGCAAGTGCTCTGAAACTGAGCTACCTCTCCATAACCCCAAGACAGAGTTTCTCTGTATAGCTCTGGCTGTCTGTTCTGGAATGCTCTGTAAACTAGGCTGGCCTCAAACTCAGAGATCCTCCTGCCTTTGCCTCTCAAGTCCCAACCCCTGGAATTAAAGGCATGTAACACCATACCCAGCTCTACCAACTTTTAAAGGGAGGTTACTATCTATTAACCGAAACATTCACTGCTTATCACAAGTCCTGTTCCCTGCCTCAACTCCAAATACTTAACTGGGTACAAACTCAACTCACTTCTGTCCACAAGCAACTATGTCCCTCAGCCAAAAAGTCACAAAACCTGGTCTTCAATGCCTCATCAAAGACTTCCAGACAGGTGCATGTGGGTCTGTAATAGGTAAAAATGGAAGCAGGAAAGTCAGTTTAAGCTTATCTGTGAGCCTATCAAGTTCTAAGCTGACAAGACCCTGAATTTAAAAAAAAAAAAAAAAGACAGTATGTTCAACATGTTGTTTCCTTTCACTAAAAAGTACAGGAAGCCGGGCGGTGGTGGCGCACGCATTTAATCCCAGCACTTGGGAGGCAGAGGCAGGCGGATTTCTGAGTTCGAGGCTAGCCTGGTCTACAGAGTGAGTTCCAGGACAGCCCAGGCTATACAGAGAGACCCTGTCTCAAAAAAAAAAAAAAAAAAAAAAAGTAGTACAGGAAGTTCAGGATATAGCTCTGTTGCAGGGTACATCCTCAATTCAATCTCCAGTACCGCCCACCCTCCAAAATCAATAAAGGAAAAGCAAAGGTTAACTCTGGAAGAAGCACTGCCTAAAAGATAATTTAAGAATAAAAAAGGGCAGGGGCTGGAGATGGCTCAGCAGTTAAAAGTACTGACTGCTCCAGCACTCGGGAGGCAGAGGCAGGTGGATCGAGGCCAGCCTGGTCTACAGAGTAAGTTCCAGAACAGTCAGGGCTACAAAGAGAAAGCCTGTCTCGAAAAACCCAAGAGTACTGACTGCTCTTCCAGAGGTCCTGAGTTCAATTCTCAGCAACCACATGGTAGCTCACAACCAACTCTAATAGGACCTGATGCCCTCTTCTGGTGTGTCTGAAAACAGCTACAGTGTACTCATATACATAAAACAATTCTTTTTTTTTAAGGCGAAAACACAAACATAAGCCTAATATATTCTGACTGTGAGAACTGGGAACTAATTAATTTGATTGACTTTGAAAAAAAAAGATGGATTTCTTGGTGAAAACTTTTAAAACTCTACCACAGGATTTTTGGTGACATGTTCCTTTGACTTCATCTCTACTCCCCATTTTACAAACAACAAAATAGCTGTAACACTATTATAAGAAGATGAACTTGGCAGCACAGGAATGTTAATGCAGCACTTGAGCATCTAGAAAACAGGACTGAAACAAGTTTGTAGCTACACAATAAGATTGAAACCAACTTGGCTACAAAGAAACATACCAAAGCTTCACTCCCAGGCAGACCCCATTTCAAACAAAAACAATGTCAAGGCTAACAATGGAGAATAAAATCACTTTAGACCAGTCTATACTGCAAGTTAGGATTATACTTTCTAGATGTATTTTATATCCTTAAAGGGTAAACACCAAAACCTAAAACAAGTCCAGAATAGTATGTCACATGCCTATAACCCAGCCCTCAAGACTGGGGCAGACAGATTTTGAGGTAAGCTTGGCTATATAACTTGGCTAAAACTACATCTCAAATATGTGCATTAATTTAAATAAACTCATTCTGTTTTTTTTTCTTTTTTTCTTTTTTTTTTTTTGGTTTTTGAGACAGGGTTTCTCTGTGTAGCCCTGGCTGTCCTGGAACTCACTCTGTAGACCAGGCTGGCCTCGAACTCAGAAATCGACCTGCCTCTGCCTCCCAAGTGCTGGGAAAAAAGGCGTGCACACCACCACTGCCCGGCAATAAACTCATTCTTGTAGCTATGTTCTTCCACCATTTCTCCCAAAACAATAAAACTTACTCAAACTAATACTAAGAGAGGCTCCTGATGAGCACTTCACAGTTACCAGAAGAAATAAATAAAGTAGTTCTAAAGGAAGTTCCATATGACCATGGCTAGCCCAATCCATATATAAAGAGAGACCAGAGGAAACCAGAGCAGTCGGAAACAGGCCAGAGAAGCAATTACCACAAT